TATATATCTATCGTATGGATATACATACATGCATACACACATATATATCTATCGTATGGATATATATAGATATATATAAAATCTCGTATGGCCTTTTGGGTAAGGATTGTGTTTCCCTCTTCCCCTGGCTACTAGACTGCTCAGGGCTGAATCTGTCGACATGAGCTTGGACACCTACCTGCCTTACCTGATTTGTTTTCTTCCTCTCGGTTTTCCTCTCCCCGGCTTTTTTCACCCTTTCCCTCCCTCTAATCCTTTTTCAAAGAAGCGCATACGTGAATCAAACAAATCTCTTACCGACCTTCTAACATATGCCTTTCACCAGCTGGCACTGAGTCCATGCCGACTCACAGCAACCCCATCGGCCAGAGTGGAGTCCCCAAAGCTGTCACCTGGTGGAGGCAGACGGCCTCATTGTTTCCTACAGAGCCGCCGGCAGGCTCAAAGCGCAGAGCTCTCAGTTAGCAGATGTGCGCTTAACCACTGCGCCACTATGCCTCTCATTCTAAACCACTGCCGTAATAATCTCAAAGGTGGAGGCCAAGGGCTCTCTGGGGAAACAGAGCCTGATGAGGGCCTGGCACATAGTAAGTGCCCAACTCAGGGCCTGATACACAGTCAATGTCCCACTAATATTCAAGGCCCTCCTATTGACTGTGACCTGAACCATCTGCCTGGCATTCATGAGAAAGCTCATTGAGTTAGGATGTTGCTGGCCCTCACCATCAAAGAAAGTACCAGTTACCTTGGGCCACTCACTGCACAGAGAACATTGGATTGTGCATTGCAGGAGCCACGGTGGGTTATGGACTCCACAGGGTGAAAACAGGGGCTCTTGTTCTTTTCTCCATTGAAACCAGAGTTCTAATCCTACTCAGGGAGTGCTGGGTCTGGCACCCCTCCCATTGTCCTACACAGCCACCAGTCACCAGACTCCTGGATGCTGGTCCCAGTGGCTCCCTCCAGACTGACAGGTCTCACAGGCAGCCTTCCACTCTCTGAGACACTCTGGTCACCAGCAAGGAGGTCCCAGAGCTCAGAGAGAGTCCTAGCCCCTGCCAGTCAGTGACAAACCACCCAAAGTTTGCCCTGGGATCACGGGGGCAATGGAAGGAGGTCTGCACGACAAGGTGGTGGAGTCCACATTTAGAACCAAACTGGGGCAGTGCGGGGCTGGACGCTGGGACTAGGTCATGGCCCGAGCCCGGATGCTGCTCTGCTGCTCTCCAGCTTGGTGATTCACCTTTGTGGGCCTCCACAGCCTCCTCTGTCAATGGCCATGACCATTACAGGACCAATAGGAGAGCCCCACTGTGACCATCGATCCGTGGATGCAAGCACCCAGAAGCAGGAAGGTTGGGAGGCAGGCATCAACACCCTTCTTGGTAAGCAGCCCAAGGCCCAGCGAAGGGGGAAATCACCACACGGCCTGGGGCGCTGGAAGGCCCCTCACTCGGCTTACAGGTCAGCTCCCTGTCCACTGGAAGTGGTCCAGCAGCCTCCCTGGAGTCAGGCAGCGGAGGGGGTCCCGCCTGTGCGGGTGGGGAGCCCTGCTTTCTGGGGATGCGCCTCTTAACTAAAACGGTAAAGGCTACTGTGCCTGGAGTGACAGCCCAAAGTGATGTCATTGGGACGCTGGAGTCACCTGGTGCTTCACTACCTGTTCAGACCCGGGGCACAGCAGTGGTCTGCCTGCCACCCCCAGCCTGCCTCCCTGTCTGCCTTTCCCAGCTCCCCTTTCTTCTCCTCCATTCCCTTTCCCTTCCTCCCTCCCTTCCAGCAAGGAGGTTCCTTGACCGGCTGACACCTGTGCCCACCAGGGCTGGGTTGGAATCTAAACCCCACTCCTGTGGCTAGAACAGAAAGCAATGCAGCCACAATGCCATGTACCATCACCTTCCAGAATACAATCCAATGCTACGTTCACGGATGTGAGCAAAATGCCCACTGCAGAACCGACGGGCTAAAATACATGCCAAGAGAAGTGTGTGCCAAACACATTTTTGTCTGATGCTTTTCATAGTTTGGTTTATCTGTAAATTCCCTTTAATAAAATGACATCAGACATTTTGGAAGCTCCTGCAGCATTTCGAGAGGGTATATCCCTAGCAACCTCCAGTTCCCAGCTTGCTTAAATCTCCCACCTGCCTTCTGTGCTCATACATTCTAAGATGTCAGATGCTCCCCAAGCAAGCCATCTTTCGACTCACCACTTAGCCTGTATACAAAGCCCTCCAGAAAGTCTCTGTGGCAGAGACCTAACTGTGGAAGTAACATAACTTCATGTCAACTTGAAAATAGATAAAAGTCTAATCTGTCAATCAGGTCACAGCCTGATGGAGACTCCTTGTGGGCAAGGCATTCTCATAAGGGTGCACCCTGGGAACCTCCCCGTCTCTTTGCCTTCACCTTTCTACTGTCATCAGAGACCTGTCAGAGCCCTATGATGAACTGTGTCACTGGATCCACATGACCTTGCACCCACCAGCCTGTGATCTTCCAGTATCCTGCATCATTGCATGTGACTGGGTGAGTCTGAAGAAGGACTGATGGACTAGCATTGGACTTACAGACTTGAACTGGACTGAGCTGGTATGCTTTCCTGATATAGAAAGCTTCTTGATATAAAGCTCTCTCTTACACACATATGAGTGTCACGAAATTTGTTTCTCTAGTCCATCGGGTTTAACACAATCTCGCTAGATTTCTCTGGGGTCCTGTAGCACACTCTGTTGGCAACATATACATATTCATGGATGAGCTCCCTCCACTAGACTATCAGCTCTCTGAGGACACATGCCTTGTCCAACCCTGCACTGATGCCCGGAATAGCCTTGGCTTCTCAGAGACACTGTCAGCCAGAAAAATGAGTGAATTTAAGTTACCACTTGGCAACCACCTATGTGAAACCATTTGGAAAATGCAGGGAAAGGCCCACCGCCCACCTCCCAGCATCCTCTCAGGGGACATTTGCCAGCGTCTCCTGCAGAAATGAACATGCCCTATGTAACATCTGAGCACTTGCGAGCAAAGAAGCAGGGATCCATCAAGCTCATCAGAGTCTGGCGTGACAGCGTGCTGAGAATATTCCCATCCAAAATGGCACACACAAGGACGTCCAGGAAAGGGACAGCTCTGAAAGCAGGAAAGAAGATGCTTCCTCCACGAACATGTCCCCAAGTCAGAATGAGCGACCCCCTCGCCCCCCACCCCACCACCCTCACACACTCACAGGTCCTCTCTCCCTGTCATTCTGTGCTATCACCAAGAACCCAGGTGTCTTCCTGCCTCTGACTAGGCCATGAACTCTAGGGGAGCCAGTGCCTTGGTCATCACTCTGTCAACAACTGCCAGCACAATGCCCAGCACCCATGGGTTGTTCATAAGGAATTTGGGGAATAAACAAAATTGAATTTCATAACCAACCTACATACCTGGAGGAGGTAGAGGAGGCTTATGACAGTCAGACAGGTGAACAGAGAGAGGTCATGTTCACACCACTTGGCCTCCCTCCTTCCCCAGCATACTGCTGCCAATGCCAACACCAAGAAGAAGAATGGTCCTGGGGAGGGAAGGGTGGAGACCATCAGGGCACAGGATGTTCACACCCCAATATCTAGATGTAGGATTATAACACATGCGTTGAGTCAGCAAGAAAACAGTAATAAGGATAATAATAAAGCCCCAGCATATGTTACCTGGCACAGCAAGCACCTACACATGAGTACTTGCACATCAGAACTGTGAGTACAAATGTTAGCATCCAGGCAAAGTCGAGAGCAGGCGGTCTTGGCCAGGAGTCCACCACCTATAGCACCTCCTCTGCCACCGTGTCTCATGAACCAGCCCCTTGTGGACGGCAGGCACCCTGCTGATCCCTATGCATGAATCTGTTTTGTTCAGCCTGTGGTGTATGAGTCAGCATATCAGCGGTTCTCAACTTGTGGGTCTCGACCCCTTTGGGGGCCGAATGACCCTTTCACAGGGGTTGCCTAAGACCATTGGAACACACATTTTCCCCATGGTCTTAGGAACCGAGACACCGCCCCTTTATCCATCTCCAGGCGGGTCTGCCCACATGCAGACACCCCCACCTACAAGTACCTGGCATGAAGACTGTTACCCATGCTATACCATGCTTCAAGACAAAATTGCACTTGTCATTAGAAATAAATATTTCACAATATATAATTACATATCGTTTTGTGATGAATCACTATGCTTTCATGTTGTTTAATCTGTAACAATGAAAATACATCCTGCCTATCAGATATTTACATGACGATTCATCACAGTAGCAAAATAACAGTGATGAAGTAGCAACAAAAATAATTTTATGGTTGGGGGTCACCACAACATGAGGAACTGTATGAAAGGGTCATTAGGAAGGTTGAGAACCACTGCATTAAATCATAGCGCCCAGCAGGGACCTGAGGAGCTCTGGTGTCACAGTGCAGTCCACGTTGGGCTGCTAACTATAAGGTCAGCAGTTTGAACCTACCCAATGCTCCAGGGAGAGCGATGAGGCTTTCCGCTGCTAGAAAGCATTAACAGCCTTGGAAACCCACACCGGAAGTACGAGCTGCCTATAAGGTTGCTGTGCATCAGAATCAACTCAATGCCCAGGAGTTTGGTTTTTCAGTTTGGAGTTTAACAAAGAAGTGTTTACCTAGCACAGCACTCGGTGCACTGGTTCCTCTCCAGAACACACAACTCTTTGGTTTTTTACCAAAGACTTTCGTGAAGATGGAACTATTCTGAGTGATACTTAATGTTGACTGAATGATAGGAGTGCTCAAGACATGCTGAGGTTAAATGACTTGTCCAAGGCCATTGATGAGAGGCTGGTCAGAACTCAAGGTTAGGCAAAGGTGGGAAGGCTCCCCACCTGCATGCATGAGGGTGCCCCTCAGAGGTCAGTGCTCCAGGTCACTAGGACCTTGTCCTAATAGTCAACTCTCCTTTTTAAAAGTATTTCTCTCCCTCTCCTCTCCTTCCAGATACTTGATTCAGTCGGTGAAGATAGGCCGTGGGTATTTCACCATGCTGAGGGAAGAGAGTGCGATGAAAAAGAGGCAGCAGCAGTTTCAGAAACTGGAGGAGGAAGAAAGAAACAAATTCCAGCCAGCCAAGAAGGTTTCAGAAATCCATTTCGGGGACGCTCTTTTGACGTAAGTGGATGTGGTGGCTCTCGAGAAGGGCCCCTGGGAGTGAACGCTGCATGGCTGGGCTTAAGAAAATCCTCACCACACACATCCATCCTCAGAAGTGACACAAGACACCTGCCTAGTCCCCAAACCGGCCTCTCTCCCTGTCCTTCCTAGGTGTGTCTTTGCCTCTAGAACTTCCCTGCGCTGCTCCGTGAGTCTTCAATGACCTTCTCTGCAGCCTCTGCCAGCTGACCTTTGTCCTCTGCACTCAAAGCCCAGCTTCAGTCCAGTCCTCTGCGGACACTTCCCAGCTTTCCGCACAACCCCATCAGGAACCCTCTGGGCTCTGGGTCTTGAGAACATGTGTCTGGACGCTGCTCTGCGTGTTCTCCTTTAACAGACCGGGTTCCAACCCTTCAGCGGCGTCTCCAGCTCCCAGTGCACAGGAACAAAGTAGCCCCAACTCGTTGGTAAAGGACATTCCCTCTCGTCGAGGAAGACCATCGGCCCAATGGGCCACTGTGAAATGTTCATCAAGATAAAAAATAATAATGAGGAGGATGAGGATGACCACAAAATAAGGATAATGAGCACTTATTGTGTGCTTCATGGATGTTTTATTTTCATGGAAACCTCGAGCCATCCCTAAGAGACAGATTTGATTATGCGCCCATTTAACAGATGTAGGATGAGTGAGGCTTAGCGATATTCACTATCTTCCCCCAAGGGCTTAAATGAGAAAGCATCACGGAGGCTCTAACTTTCTTCAGTCTGTCATCCAAATCCACTGCCTGCCCTCTTCTGCATGGACACACTCCTGGGGTACCCGGCTTGGGAAGACTGAATGAGGAAGAGGCAAACAAGTGGGGAAGCAGGCAGAGGGGAAATGCACAGTAAACTGACCTGTGGCCGTGCCACCGACCTGGGATGGCAGCACATCACAACCTCCTCAACATTAGAAATATCCAACAGCTATTTATTCACTTATGTCGAATGCTGACACCCAAACCACACCAAGCCCATCAGACGCTCTGGGAGTGCGGCTGGACACCGTATTGTTAAAAGTCAAACGAGGTGATTCCAAAGTGAAGCCAAAGTTGAGAATCACTAGGTTCAAGTGATTGATCTATAAATAGAAGGCATTCAGAGGGTGTGGGGGGTGGATAGTCTCTTTAATAAAGGGTGCGGGCAAAACTTGATATTTCACAGCACACTCAAAAATTAACTCAAGGTGGATCAAAGTCCTCAATGTACAATTAGGGGCAAATGTAAGGGCTCTGCTATGTGGCATAAACACACTATGAAACATATCTGAAAACATACACCACAGCAGAAAAGAAACTAGTCGTCTGGGACCTCCTAAAAAGTTGACCCTTGTGTACATCAAGAGATTTCACCAAAAGAGTAAGAACCCACAGACTGAGTGGGGAAATATGGCAATGACATATCGGACAAGAGACTAATCTCTACAATTTATAGAAGATTTCAACACGTCAGCATCAAAAAGACAAATAATTCAGTTAAAAACTGGGCAGACAACATGAACAGAAACCTCCCCCAAAGAAGACCTTCAGGTGGCAGCCAACAAACAAAGAAGAAACTGGCCGTTTGAGAGATGCACATCAAACCAATTAATAACAGAGTTCAACAGAACAGAAACACAAGTGGTGATGAGGATGTGCAGAGACTGGAACTCACCTCCATTGTTAGTGGTAATGGAAAATGGGCTGGCACTTCCACAGAAAGTGGGACATAGAAATACCACATGGTCCAGCGTCCCAACACATGGCATACATCCGAAAGGAACCAGTAAGTACACACCCACATTCGTCACAGCAATACTCACAGCTTAAACGCCCACAGTTGGCAGAGTGAATACACAAACTATGGTGTCAAGCGCTGTTAGCTGTTGAGTTGGTTCCAATTCAGAGTGACCCTACGTATCACGAAACAAAACACGGCCACATCCTGCACCATCCTCATCATCGTTATGTTGAGAGCCCATTGGTACAAGTCACTGTGTCCTGTGATACGTACACACAACGGAATACTTCGCAATGTGAAAGAATGACCGAGAATCTTTCAAATGCCTCAGAACACAGGTGAACATGGAGGATATTAAGTGAAATCAGTCAACCCCCAAAGAACAAACACTGTATGAGACCCCTATTATAAAACAAAGCCGACAAAAGGTTTCACACTTAAAAAAAATTCTTTGCTGATTACCAGGGTGGGATGGGAAAGAAGAATAAATCACTAACTAGAGGGTAGATGCATTTCAACGTAGGTTAACGAGAAGGGAAAGCGAGAGAGAGACCTAATTTTAAAAATATATCCTTTGGCTATTTTTCACTCAAAATGTTGGTATGGTATGCATTCCTTCATTAACATATTTATTCACTCTAAAATGAAAGAAGACGATTTCTGATTTACAATTCTGCCTTCCATGCCTTTTATGGAGTGGGCATTCCAAGGAAACACCTTTGTTTGAAGAAGAGAAGCTGTGTGAATGGAAGTCGGAGAAAACCTGCTAAATTCACATCAGGGATGGGCCAGAGGTATCCAGAAAACAGCAAGGCATAAAGGGAGAAGGGGCAGTTTGCCAGTCTTTCTGTGAGGGTCCCACGGGCTAAGCCCAAATCCTTCCTTCAATCCCAATTTCATGGCACCACAGAACCTGATTTTCACCTTCTGCTTAGCAGCCGAGAGCTTAACCACTGCACCACCTTCAGCCCACATAATAGTCCCAAATTCTCAAACTTGCTAGGAGGGTTGAATGAAATGATCCTTCGCTCAGAGTCTGCCATGTAATAGTAATTGGTCAATAATTACTAGCCAGAAAGGCACACTGGTGGCACAGTGGCGCCTTCCGAGAGGTCAGTGGTTTGAATCCACCATCTACCCTTTGAGGAAAGATGAGGCGGTCTCCTTCTGGAGAGAGTTGGCATGTCGGAGACCCTACGGAGCAGTTCCACTCTGTCCTCTACACTTACTATGTGCCCAAGACCGCCACACCGGCAGTAGGTATTGCATTTTGCAAGCTCGGTGTTGACTGTGCTTGGTGGCTAAACAAAAAGTGGATGGTTCAAAGCCACTGGCTACTCCACAAGAGAAAGATGTAGCCATCTGTCTCTACCAAGATTCATAGCTTTGGGAACCTTTTGGAAACTGCTCTGTCCTATCTGGTGGATATGAGATGGCAGTGGGTTATGATGCAGTAAGGAGTTCCTGGTTGACGCGAGTGGCTCGCATGCATTGTCACTAACTGAGACGCTGGAGGGTTGAGCTCATGCAACTGCATCTGGGAAGAAAGGCCTCAGAGCGTCTAAGTAACCAGCCAGCCCCACTCTGACAACACCTGGAGTGGTCATGAGTCGGAATCCACTTGACAGCCACGCACTTGTAATTATGCAAAACCAATGCGGAGTGAACGATCCTAATTTCCATAAAGGCCGGAAACTGGGTTGAAACTGGGTTGGACCGGTCTTTGCAGGGCCTTCCCCTGCTAAGCTGTGCTTTCCACAAACACAACCCCAGTCACAAAAGTAGCAGAAAACAAAAGTTCCTTTCAAAATACTTTCATTTGATCTTGTGCACTATACAAACAAAAGGGACTATTCTCCCCCCTCTGGATCGGAGACCACAGGCTAGATTCTTTTAGACCAAAGTTTATGGCGGACAAACGAGGCAGGTCAAGAAAACCAAGCGTGTCCCTGCAGCCTTCTGCCTGCAAGCTGTCTTTCCCACCGTGCTCAAAGAAGTCGCTTTGCAGCGGCAGTTTCAGCTGGAAAGGTGGGAAAAGACGGTGTGTAGAACTGGTTTCACGATTGTGGTTAAGAGAAGACATAAAACCAGAGATTAGGGAGTGTGAAGGCTGGGTTAATTTCCACATATTCTAAGCCACTGGGCAACACGGTCGAGCTAGAAAGACAGGGTTGGTCAATGTCATTGCTTGTGGTTTCCTCGGCTCTCAGAGTGGAATAAAAAGCCCATGGAAATGAAAATCAAGAGACCCAAGTTCTGACCCTAATTTTTAAAGGACTGCATGACCTCAGGATCATCCTTAAAGTCCAGACAGGATAGGAAGTTCCTCGCATGTGTCCCTGGCCCTCCATCCCACTCCCCACACAAGACTAAGTGACCTTGTTCAAAGTGGAAATTGCTCCCAGCCTGAAACCATCAATGGCTACCATTGTTGACAAGGTGGGAAAAAAATCTGCAATGAGACCACCAGGCCAGCCCTGTGTGGTCTGCTTGGCCCCTGGCTACTCCTCCACTCTGTAGCATGGCTTCCCTTGGCTCCCTCTACTCCAGCCACTCTGACTTACCCACTGCTCTCTCACTGCATGCCCTCCCTTAAGGGCTTTTGCATGGGCTAGTTCCTGTGTAATTTCACGCAACTTTTAGCTTGTCGCTCAGTACTTCTTTTTTTGCCAGGTACTTACTGCCATGAGCAACCGCCCCCAAAGTCTAGAGCAACAAGCATTTACTTCCCTCATGAACCTGCATTCACTGGAACAGCGTCAAGGATCCACTTCCAAGATGGCTCATTCACGTTGGAGCTGACTGTCAGCTGTCAGCTGAGCCGGGGTTGAAGGCCATAGACCTGGGTGCCTCTGCAGGTGGGTCTCTTCACAGGCTGCCAGCTAGGTTCTACACATGGGCATTCCTGAGACAGAGAGCAGAGAGACCAATGCCTACAGACTGGGCCCAGAAACTGCCTTCACACCACTTTTGGCATATTCTATTCATTCAGCTAGTCACAGAGGCAAGATTAAAGGGGGAAGGGACACAGAGCCTTACTTCTCAATTGGAAGTATGTCAAGAAATCTGAGGAACCTGTTTCTCAATCGCCCCACCCTCCTCCAGGAAGTCCTCCCTGGCTTCCACTTCAGCCCAGCTTCCTACTGTAGGCTCTCCGAGTGCCAGGCTCACTCCCTCCAGCAGAGATTCCCCAAGTCTGCAATTGCTTTTGTCAGTCTCCCCCACTGGAGAGAGGGGCGAAGGCTGCCTCCTACATCCAGCACAGAACAGGCATCCGTCCATACGCATGAGGGGGAAGCAATGAGCCACAGAATCAGTCATTCACGAAGCCCTTAGTCTGGGGCTCAGAAGCCAAGGCATTCAGGGACACTGGCAGGCAAGAGGAAGGGGTGGGGGTGAGGGTGGGGGCAAGCCAAGAAGCCTACACCATAGAGTCAGTGGGTGCTCCGCCCCATCCTTAGCTCTAGCTGACACCTGACTGGAAGCAAAAGCCAAAACTAGAGAGAGAGGCCTACCACTGCCATCTCTTCTAACCCCAAACCAAACCCACTACCATTGAGTCGATTCCAACCCAGAGTAACTCTACACAAGGGCTCCAGACTAGCAGACAGCCTCACCTTTCCCCCAAAGAGCAGCTGGTAGATTTAAACCACTGACCTTGTGGTTAGCACCCAACCCCTAGCCCACAGTGACAGCAGGGCTCCTTATAACCACGGCAAGGACTTGGGCTTTTTCTCTGGCCCAGAGTGGCCAGAACTCTCCATTTGCCAAGAGTCCAGGCTTTATGATCTTTATGTGAAATCGCCTCATTTGAAAGTAAACAATCGTCAGCTAATGATAACTTGGAATGGAGGATGGACTTGGGTATGGGCAAAAAAATGAGGTACCTCGTGATTTAGGCAGGCAAAACAAACATCTGAAATCGTTTACTCCAATTAGGAAAACAAACAACCCCACTGCTGTCTAGCCTACTCCCAACTCATAGGGACCTGAGGGAGTCACATCATCTGGTGTCAATTT